TCAGGTCCCCTGCTGGCGCTCCTGGCTACTCTCCCCCTGCTGAGTTCTAGCAGAGCAAAATGCTTGCTCTGGGGGCACTCGTGAGAGCCTGATTTGACACGCGGAGCATAGATTGGCTCTGCCCCCTCCTCATTGGCTCTGATTAACCATTGGTTGTGATGAAGGTTCTAGAGCGACCATTACATTCTCCTTACCACAACAACATTGAGGCACTTTGGGAACATCTCAGAATCAGGTCATGCTAGACAAAGTTAACAGGACCCAGAGTTTTTCATTTGCCAAGAATGTGTAAGGAAGGAAGCTTAAGATAAAATAAAAGGCCTGATTCACAATTCTTAAAAAGATTGAAAGCTGTAATCAGTGCTAAAAGGGGGCTGATACATGACATCAATAACTAAGTTAATGCAAACTTCTGAACAGGGTTATGTTGTTATCCTACCCACATAGCTATAGCTTGAGTGATAGATGTGCTATCTGATGATACCTTATAGTTTAATTTGAATCACATTAAAAATAAAATAAATCCATTTCATCTAAACACTTGTGTTTTATTAGAAAAAAAAATATCCACATCTTACAAATTCTGCCAACGGTATGAAAACCTGAGCACAACTGTGCAGATAGCCTTACATTTCCCACTACAAGCCTGAAAACACAGACAAGTGTTGCATATGAATACATTTAAATGGCCAGTTCTAATAAGATTATAGAATCTTGATTTGAGTAGGGTGACCAATTCATTTCTTCCATTCCTTTTCCCACACAGTGTTACAGGCTAGAAAAAAAGATTTAATTGTGTTTTTGACACAGAGAGAAAAAAATAAATATTCACCCATTTGCTGTGAACTCTGATGCAGCCAACTGTCATCAGAAGTCATGTAATTTGCTAAACAGAGTTCATCTGTGTGTAACTGAAACTAAGTAAACCTGTTTTTAAAAGCTTGCTGGAGAGAATATCTTAACAAGCTTCACCACATAGCATACAGGATAAAGATCTGCAGAGTCACCAATACTGGTTGGGTTATTTAAAACAAATCCCAAATACAGAACATCCAAAGAAGCACCATTAAATATATTTTCTAAAAATGGGAAGAATATGGCACAGCCACAAATCTTTGCTTAGTGAAAGCCATCTACCAAAGCTAGTTTTGGTGGGCATTAGTCAGGGAAGCAATCAGCACTACCTCAGAGATCCATAGTTGAGATGGGAGAAACCATCTCTTGGGTGGTGTACAAAGCTGGGCTTTAAGGAAGAATAAAGAGAGAAAGCCATTGCTAAAAAATAACCCAGTCAAATCCTTTTGCAGTTTGCCATAAGGGATATAAGAGACAAAGCAAAACATGTGGAAATAGATGCTCAGTCCTGATAAGACCAAAATTAAACATGGTGAACTTATAGCTGTTATTGAAAAATAACACTGATCATCACCCTTGGGGCACATTGACAAGGATGAAGACTGGTCACGGTGGCATGTTGTTGTGGAGATGCTTTTATCTAAAGGGACTAGGAAACTCAGGACTGAAGGTAAGAAGGTTCAAGCCAATTAAATGTTCCTGTCCACCAACAGACCCCATCAAAACGCACAGAGATATTGTAATTTTAACGAAGAATGGGTAAGAATTGCAGGAGTCAATTTTCTTTTCTTTTTAAACCTTTAAAACCCAAAGGAAGTCTCAAGTCTTTTACATTCTTTGTGGGCCTGTTTGATTTGTCACAGATTTTTGCCAGGAAATGTCTTGGCATTTTTTTTTTGACTGGGTGGTAAAAAATGGCGCTTTCTGCTGCCAGCTCAGTACTCTGGGCTGGCATAGCTCAGTAATAGTCACTCCCCTTATCAAACACTTTAACACAGACATGTATTTCAGAGAAGGGGAGTGTGCGAGTCTGACCACTCAATGCTGTCTACTACTGAATGTTGATTACAGAGAACACTGTATCTAACCCTCTGGCCTTTTGGATTGCAGAGTCATATTTAGACACAATGTGCAACTGTAACAGAAAAGTGAAGGACAAACTATGAAAACAGAGGTTGCTTGTACAAAGTTTATTGGACTGCATATCTTTTATCTGTGACTTCAATTTGACATTACGCCAAACAGCATTCACACCTTCAAAGTATTAGATATATTGTGTAAATCACATGGTAAAAATCTCAGTTAAATTGCTTTAGTTCAATTTTACAAAACTATAAATGTGGAAAAGAGGGAGGGGCATATCCGTATACTGTAACCTGATTCAAGTATATTTGAAACCAGATCTGAAAAATTAGGATACAGTGCATCCACAAAGTATTCACAGCACTTACCTTTTGCTACATTTTGTTATGTTACAGCTTTATTCCATCATTTTTTTCCCTCAACAATAATAAAACAGAATGACAACGTTAAAGAAGTTAGTTTTGAAATCTTTGCAATTTAATTAAAAATAAAAAAAAACACATGTACATAAGTATTCACAGCCTTTGCTCAATACTTTGTTTAAGCAACTTTAGCACCAAATACAGCCTCAAGTCATTTTCAGTATGATGCTACAAGCTTGGCACACCTATTTTTGGGCAATTTCTCCCATTCTTCTTTGCAGTATCTCTCAAGCTCCATCAGGTTGGATGGTAAGCGTCGGTGCACAGCCATTTTCAGATCTCTCCAGAGATGTTCAATCGGATTCAAGTCTGAGCTCTGGCTGAGCCACTCCAGGACATTCAGAGTTGGCCCGTAGCCACTCCTTTGTTATGTGGGCTGTGGGCTTAGGGTGGTTGTCCTGTTGAAAGATGAACAGTCATCCTAGTCTAAGGTCCAGAGTGCTCTGAACAGGTTTTCATCAAGGATGTCTCTACATTGCTGCATTCATCTTCTTTCCTTCAATCCTGACTAGTCTCCCAGTTCCTGCCACTGAAAAACATCCCCACAGCATGATGCAGCCACCACCATGCTTCACTGTAGGCATGTATTGGCCAGGTGGTGAGCGGTGCCTGGTTTCCTCCAGACATGGCGCTTGGCATTCAGGCCAAAGAGTTCAATCTTTGTTTCATCAGACCAGAAGAGAGTTTTGTTTCTCATGGTCTGAGAGTCCCTCAGGTGCCTTTTGGCAAACTCCAGGCGGGCTTCCATTTGCCTTTTACTGAAGAGTGTTTCTATCTGGCCACTCTACCATACAGGCCTGATTGGTGGAGTGCTGCAGAGATGGTTGTTCTTCTGGAAGGTTCTACTCTCTCCACAGAGAAACGCTGGAACTCTTTTAGAGTTACCATTGGGTGCTTGGTTATCTCAATAGGTAAGGCTCTTCTCCCTTGATCGCTCATATTGGCAGGGCGGCCTGCTCTAGGAAGATTCCTGGTGGTTCCAAACTTCTTCTATTTTCGGATGATGGAGGCCACTGTGCTCATTGGGACCTTCAATGCTAAAGAAATTTTTCTGTACCCTTCCCCAGATCTGTGCCTTGATATAATCCTGTCTCAGAGGTCTACGGACAATTCCTTGGACTTCATGGCTTGATTTGTGCTCTGACATGCACTGTTAACTGTGGGACCTTATATAGACAGGTTTATGCCTTTCCTAATCATGTCCAATCAACTGAATTTCCCACAGGTGGACTCCAATCAAGTTATGGAAACATCTCTCAAGGATGATCAGTGGGAACAGGATGCACCAGAGCTCAATTTTGAGTGTCAAGGCAAAGGCTGAGAATACTTATGTACATGTGTTTTTTTTGTTTTTTATTTTTAATAAATTGCAAAGATTTCAAAATGAATTTCTTTCACATTGTCATTGTGGAGTATTGTTTGTAGAATGTTGAGGAAAAAAAAATAATTTAATCCATTTTGGAATAAGGCTGTAACATAATATAATGTGGCAAAAGTTAAGTTCTGTGAATACTTTCTGGATGCACTGTAATAGGTGCTTTGAACCAGCTATAATAATATGACCATGAAATAGTTTAGGCAAAATGGTTTTAAAAAATGCCTATTTATAATGTCCTGTAACATTTTACAGCATAAACGTAAGAGAAGTACATTATTAAAAAAAAAAAAAAAAAAAAAATCATACTTACCGAAGCTGCATCTATCCCCCACCAGCTCCAAGTGTAAGAACTCAGTGATCACATGACTACTGATCGTGGAGTTCTCACAGCCGCTCTGAGCAGAGAGCAGTGACTGTCACTCACTGCTGCCTGGACCAGCTGAGTGATGTCAGCTGACAAAGGGCTTCAGCAGTTCAGAACAAACTGCACTCCTGTGATCCACAGAAATACAGCCAAAAGAGCTTTGGCTGTACTTCTTTATTATTTACTTCGGTCCCATCCTTCAGTGGGCTTATTGGTTACTGTCCCAACCACAGAGAATTATGTTCTAGGGCAATACTGATCACATGTCTACAAATCTGCTGGTATATTTTTTTTCTATGTGGGAGGAAACTGGATTACCTGAATGAAACCCATACAAATATAGGAAGAGCACACTAATTTTATGCAGACCGTGTTCTGGGTGGGATCTAAACTAAATAAATAACTACTTCGCCAATATGGTGCCTTAGAAAACATGATTCTAATTTTGTAAACAAAGTCTGTGAGCAGCACAAGGTTAACAAATCAAATAAAAGTATGAGATTTGTTTAACAGTTTATAAAAGTCTTTTATAAAACCTCTTTACTACTATTAAAGCGAATCACTGTACATTAGCAACAATTTTCCAGGCATTAAATTACTGGACCAGTCGTTGAGAAACTGACAATAGTTATGGAGAAAATTACACAAGAGTAAGATCAGTAATGTTTTGTCCAATGCCACAAGTGGAGACAATCTTTGTAAGAAAATATATTTCAAATATTTCAGGAAGAATTTGTTACACTATGAAGAAACTAGGCAAATGTATATACAAATAAAAAAAAAAATATGGGAGGAAGAAAAATGCATCTAAAAATGTTCCTAAAGTGAAGAGATGAGGGAAAACAGAATAGAGTGAGGGGATATGACACTCCATTTCCAGTTTTGGCTGTCCATTTCATCAGCAGGAACAGTTGCCGCATCCTTTAACGCTGTTAATGATCTCCTCTTGCAGCTTCTTTCGTTCCTCCTCTTTGGACATTTCTTGGCTACTTTTCTCAGACTTCTGATTGCTCTGACTGTTTAAGACCCTGTTACTTTGTGTGTGCCACAATTCAGAATAAAGACTGTTTGGGTTTGCCAAAAGTCCAAAATGTGTCCCTCTCTCTGCCACTTTACCCTGCCACAAGATGAACAGAAATTACAATCAGGATAGAAAAAAATTAAAACATTCTTAGTTGCATCAAGGTTAATTAGCATGTGCAGGCCTTATGTCAAATTCAAAAACAGGCAAATAGGAAAGCAAATGAAAAAAAAACAGGCACTTACTTATATTTATTCCCCCACAATATCACTATCATATACATATCATCCTTCAGTATTGCCCTCCTGTTTAATTATTTAAAAACAGGGTATACTGGTGGATGATTCCTCTCCAGTGCTTCTATCATGGGTGAACAGCTCATGACCACCAAATCATGCATACATACAAGGGACCTTGGCAAAACAAACGTACTATAAAAGTTTCTCATGGCTACATCCTAAAATTAAAGGGTAAATGTTGTAGAGATCGGAGATACAGAAAACAGATCAGACTTCCAAAGGTCTGAGCTTTCCTGATATCAATTAGGGGCAGAGATTTTATCTTTCAATAAAAGAAAAGTGAGGTGTGATGGAAACACAGATTCAATTCACAAAGTCTCAAAGGACCTAGTAAGGATGATTATGATATATTCATACATATTTGATTTAACCGCAAACCTGGGTTGTATTATGGGGTCCTGATTGGTTTTACCATTTTAGGTGGAGACCAAACTGCACACACGTGAAGAGCTTCTGGTTGGAAGAGGGACACTGCCCCCTTCCCCGCCTCTCTAGCAAAGACTGAACATCTTAACTAGTCAGCATGAATTGGGAGCAAAAGTAAAAAGGAAGTGTTGGGCTTTCTTTGCAGAAAGTCCAGAATACATTTTCAATTGCGTTTCTAAAAAGTAATTTACAAACAAATACACAACATTTCAATGACAAAACAAAACAAAAAAAAAAAAAAAAAACTAGACCTTTCTGACAGACTTGTGTGAACAATCCTGTTTTGAACTCCTGTAAGCCGATTGCTTTACACATATTACATAGTACTCATTTTTTACCATACAGATCCAGATTTTTTTTCAGAGACCTGCCTTGCCCACAGTTTTTCCAGCAGCAGATAACATCGCTCACAGAATAATAAAGCTTCCTTTTCAAAGGCAAACCTCAAAACACTAGAAAAAATTATGTTTCAAATAATTATACTGTAAGGATAAAATAACTACAAAAAAAAGGGGTAGAGGTTCATCCATGCCTTATATATGAAGAGAGACTGCAGTAACTGTGGAATTTCTCGGTCTTCCCACTCCAGTGCTGCCATGTGTCTGAGTGTCTGATCATGCTGCCTTCCTATGGGGCTAGTGTGAATGCCATGCCAGCAGGAAACAATGTATAACAGCAGGAATTTGGCTCTAAAACAAGATGCAATATGCACACATCTAACAGAGAAAAAAAGACAGTGATGTAATGCCTCTACGTATAGATTAATATACCACATAGCACACAAACAGGCTACTCTGATTTCTGTTGTCACATTACAACTGTGGCTGGCATATTGCAGATCATATGAATTATAATTTAGAAACACATGTAAAACTGAAGTTAAAAGATCCCATTTGTCTCTAAAACAAGAAACAAATTTCCCATGGACACCCCACAAGGCTGCGGTGTTAGCCAGGCAAGAAATGCATTAAGCCCTTACTGTTAGATTAAACTGGTGACCAATGTCCTTACTGTGAAAAATAATGGAAGTGTGGTGTTTAGCAAACCATAGATGGTTCTAATCGTAACTGATTCCGCAGGGACCGGACGAGATTCAAGCCTTCAATGGACAGACTCATTGTACCCAATTCGATTGTTGTACAACTTGGGTACAACTAGCATGTTGGATTTTTCATGCAATTATTGCCAGCTGCTATAGCCACTAGCAATAATCACTGTGCTCTCCCAGCAGGGACGGATCCCCACATCCCCCTGCCAAGAGAACACAATAGCTCCGCGGGAGGGATTCCCCCATCAACATTGAATGTGTTAATGAGGAAATCAAGCATTTTCTTTCCTGCAACCACAGAATAGTATTGTCTATGGCCTGTGTTTAGCACGGTACACATGCAGTTTTATTTGTTTGCCTTTAAATAATTTTGTTTCTTCCTCAATCTGCAGTTTGGAGATGCTCTGTATAGGTAACCCCATCCTCTTTACAGTGTTTCTTTAGTTTCTGTTCTGAGCACATGTAAGTGCTGGAGCTAGACATACTATGATCTTTTGACCTATGTAATGTTCATCTGTGAAGATATGAACAAATTTTCAATTAAAGCTTTCTATGATCTTCAAGATGTGATTTGGATTGGAAGATTGTCTGCCAATGCTTCTGAGATTGTAAGATGTTGCTAGTTCACCACAACTGGATCAGTTATAGAGATCACAATTGCAATATTTAGACTGGGGAAGCAGCCACTTTACATTTTTTTCTGTAAAGATGAATATTTAAATCATCTGTTCATGTGCAAGCAATTTTTTTCGCACCTGATAGGTTGTAAAAGAAAAGTGCAAAGTGAATTTACATTTTAAAATAACTCACACTCGTGCGCAGCTACACCATAGATATAAATGAAGAAAAATGACAAAAAGGGGAAATTGCTGCAACCATTTAGTATACTCTCACTTAAAAATATATAAACCCAGAATATGTAGTGGGCCAACTCCTCATCAAAAATTAAATAAAACTTAAATAGCACCATAAACATCAATTCACAATAAACTATAAAATAGTCCAGAACCCAAGTCCAAAATGTCCAAAAAAAGGTTTTACAACCACTTTCCAAAAAGTGTGTTTGTGTTCAAAACACACTCCCTGCTCTCCTTCAAGTTCAACCTTCAAATTGTAATAGGTCAAATGCATTTTGTAGGAATGAATCCTTTCATGTGGCGATAAATCCAAGTGTCTTCACTCAATCATGGCTACAAACCGTGCATAGAAAACAAAAAATATACCATAGCGCAACACTGTTTAAAGTAAAGTAAACATTGACTGAGCCAAACACATGCACTCACAGTTAAGCAAAACACACCATGCTCCACGAACAGTGTTTCCATGTTCACTTTATCCAACATGTACATAAGTGCTTCCCTCCACCAATGAGTGTACCATGCACTCACTTTCTTCCTTGACCCATATGAGATATAGGTCATAAGCGCTATAAACGTTGGTCACAAAGGTATAAATCAGTAAAGGCATGAAACTGCAATAACAAAGATAGTGACCCTAAGGAAGTCCTGTGAACAGTGATGCAACACGCCGGCGCGGAGCCTATTGACATCACTTCTGATATAGCGCAATCCGGAAAATGCGGTGAGAGGAACCATCTTTGTTATTGGAGTTTCATGTCTTTACTGATTTATACGTTTGTGAGTGGATTTTATTAGATTAATAAAGGAATCTTCTTTTATGGGGTTGCACTATGAATTGTCCTTCTTTCCACTGAGCTTTTACCATCCTGGTGGGAAGTTGGAGTCTGGTCTCTTAAAGGGCCAGTAGCAAGGAAATAGCCACTAAGGGATAAGCACGAGATCAAGCAACGTTTATAGTGCTTATGACCTCTATCTTATACGGGTCAAGGAAGAAGGTGAGTGCATGGTACACTCATTGGTGACGGGAAGCACTTATGCACATGTTGGATAAAGTGAATATTGAAACACTGTTCATGGAGCATGGTGTGTTTTGCTCAAATGCGAGTGCATATGTTTGGTTCACTCAATGTTTAGTTTACTTTAAACGGTGTTTGTACTACAGTATATTTTTTGTTTTCTATGCACGGTTTGTAGCCATGATTGAGTGAAGACACTTGGATTTATTGCCACATGAAAGGATTCATTCCTACAAAATGCATTTGACCTATTATAATTTGGAGGTCAAACTTGAAGGAGAGCAGGGAGTGTGCTTTGAACACAAGCACGTTTTTTGGGAAAGTGGTTGTAAAACATTTATTTGGACATTTAGAATTTACATTCAGCTTCACCTCATTCACTAAGCTACCTGAAAATTCACTTAGGAAAGAGAACATGCTCTGTTCCTTTAGTAAATCAACCCCTTTTGAATGGGTTTCTTATACAAAACACACTTTAATTCTGACTTATTTGTCCTTTTATAAAACATACACAAAAGAGACTATAATGGCAAAATGGAACATGCAATAAGAAAGTGCTTTTCGAAATAAGGTTACAACTGTAAACAAGCCTTAAATGTCAAACCAAACTGCTGCCACTGAATAATACTGTAGTTTTTCTACTCCCAAGACCACAACATTCAAGAATTATTAACACCACAGGCCAACTGGCTGCACTCAGCTAGTCTCAGTTACTAAAACAATGCAATGCAATATACTGAATCACAATTGGCCAAAATATTCTTAATGTAAGAAAATGTGTGCTTTTAAAACATTTGTTATGTTCTGTGTAGGACAGTGAGAGGTATTTAAAAACTACTGTAAAACAAAAGCAGGCTCTTACTTATTTTACAGTAAGGGTGGTAGAGGCAATATACAATACTGCACAAGAATGAGGCGTTCTTAAAGCGATTCTATTGCACTTATGCAAAAAAACATTGACCCAGTATTCTATACTCAAGGATACCCTAAACATGGAGGACCTCACCGCTACCTTCTGTTCCTACATGGCTACTTGTTTCACTTTTTTTTCTGCAAAATGGATGCTTAAAATCTTTATCTCGAGTACAGAAAACTGTATCAACTGCTGCCCCAACAGGGTCAATAAAAACAGACATTTGTAGATCTGGAAAGCCACAGCTTTTGCTCCAGATAAAACATTAAGCTGAAAATCAGATCATTTGCTTGAAGTAAGAGTTGGCCACCAGAAAGTGGCAACTAAACATAATGGAAGTGGGAGAAGACTTCTGCATAAGCAACACCCTTGCTATTGAAGGGATACATTTAATGCTGAACACATTATAGAAACCTATAGAATTCCCCTTTACATCTACAGACCTTCTGAGTGTCTATAGTTTATTATCCTGACAATGACAATTGGTATTTTTATACAGAAAATTTTACCGCCCCGTATTTATTATAATTGAACAGCTTACATAGGGCTGCAAATTATGTAAAAGTTTCACAAGCATGACAAACAGAAGGAGGTCTATAAGGGGATGCAGTATTGTGTTACTACACCTTTGTTGCCTAATTCAAAGGCCAGGAGAGGGTGTTTTTTATCCTGTGCTCTTGACATAGTAATGCCGCTATTGCAGTGGAGGTAAAAAAAACTAGGTTGTGCTGTCTTGGCAGCACGATTTGATCACAAAACTAACTGCACAGCTAAACTGCAGTATAATTTCAGAATCACTGCAATGCAGATTTCTGGTGGAAACAGGCCTCACTTACATGAACTGACTATTAAAATACCATGAGGTCTGTGTGTATTGCAAAAGGTATCAACAAACAAAAGGCATCACATCTAGGCAGAGAGTATTTATTCCTGCTATTTGTGAAGAATTCAAGACATCTGTGTAAATTCCCAATCACTGGCACCTTGATGAGCCAGGAAACCCAATGGTCAGACATTTAAAAAACAAGCCAGTATATTTACCAAGACTGCTGGAACAGTAGCAGACTAAAAGCTGGCCATACACTGAGAAACTTTTAGCCAGTTCCTAATAAACAGGTTAAAAGTTGATCAGTGAGTGGCCCTGTAGGCACCACTCCATCTGAACTCCTTTGACTGAAAAATGTAAATCAGGTGAAAATTTGTCAGCCAAAGAGAGCCTGCATCCAATCAGATGCAGGCACTATTTAGGTACTCGGAGTCAGCGGCACTGGCTGTCAGAATACAATAGCTGCAACAAAAGATTTGTTCATCTGCACTGCTTATTTAAAATGGAGGAATCTGTTAGATTTGTTTTGTGTAGCCCACAGACTGAACAAAATAAAGCTATATGTACAGTATATGGCCAACTTTAGGTAATGTGTCCAGTAGCATATTTTGATTCACGCTTTGATCTGTCTTTATTTTTTTTATTTTTTGAAGGATAAAAACTGCAAAACAAAGCAGGTCATATTTTATTTACTTGCATGTCCATGTGAAACTTAGCATTACATTATATCTCCAGTTCTACAAACGTGAAGTGCTGAGGTTATGTTTTTGTCATTTTCACACAACAGTAAATAGACAGTATATAACAAACACAGGATCCAGTGTTATTCAGCATAAAATAAAACTATAATTATGTTCCCCATTATTCCTTATGTACCATTCAGGTATACATTTTTGAAGTCTGTTTGCCTTATGAATCAAAAGCAAAGAGGTCATGCAACTTCCCCACTCCTCTCATTAAGTCTTGTAGTGCTGGACCATGGGAGGAGTAGAATGTTGCACACTTGGCACTGTAAAGACATTTGTGAGTTGCTCCAGACTTTCAAATGTCACAAAAGGTATGGAAGGATGCTTATTTAAAACACATTTTCAAAACTATGTGGTCTTCTTCTGTATATATAAAAAAAAAAAAATTAAAGGAACACTTTTTAATCAGAGTATAGCATCGAGTCAATTAAACTCCTGGGATATTGATCTGGTCAGTTAAGTAGCAGAGGGGGTTGTTAATCAGTTTCAGCTGTATTGTGTTAATGAAATTAACAACAAGTGCACTAGATTGGCAACAATGAGACAACCCTCAAAACAGGAATGATTTTACAGGTGAAGGCCGCTGACATTTTTTCCCTACTCATCTTTTCTGACTGTTTTTCACTAGTTTTGCATTTGGCTAGGGTCAGTGTCACTACTGGTAGCATGAAACGATACCTGGACCCTACAGAGGTAGTAGAAGAAGAAGATGAAAGAAAGAGCGCACAAACCTTACGCATTACCCCAATAAATACTGACTAATTTTATTATTAAGGCAATATACTCACAAAGTGATGGTATAACAGGCATAAGTAAAAACAGGGTTACAGGTAAATCCAAAAGGGGGGGGGGAATGAAGGCTAAGGCGTTTCGAAGGGTGCTCCCTTCTTCATCAGAGCTGGGTTGAGCAGGTAGAGACTTCAGTATGGCAGAGTTCCCATGACAAGGACATATTCAGCCACTGAGTGTCAGTATTACAGCAGTTCAGTCCAAACAGGCAGTATATATATATATATATATATATATATATATATATATATATATATATATATATATATATATATATATATGCCTCTTGCCTATCTCACACATGTACCTTGCCCTACTCAAAATCTTTTCTATGCAATTCTAACATTAGGAGCAGCTACCTTTGTAAACTGGTGTCTACACAGCAATAAAAATATTAATCTCAGCTACCCATTATATAAGTAATTAAGTGTTGCTTACCTTTTCCAGAACTATAATTTCATCTGCATCAACAATAGTGGACAACCTATGAGCGATGAACACAGAGGTTCTGTGTCTTACTATGTCACGCATTGAGCTGAGAATATTCTGTCAAAATAAGAGTTGTAAAACAATGACTTCACAGGTAAACTGTCAGACTTTATTAAAGTGATATTTACATTTTGTATTGAACCAGCACTCTAAACCTGAAAGTATTTTAAACATCCTGCCATTGAACATCAATCAATATACTTTGTAAAACCTTCAGCTTCATATTGACAATTTGCAATATAGAAGCAAACTTAAATCAATTAACTTTGTTGCAGCCTAAATGAGCTACTTGCTGCAAATCTAAAAGGAGAAAGGTGTGATTGAGGGCCAGTTCACACTAAGAATCATATAAGAACACGCTGCCTGTGTGATTCACATGTGATTCAGTGCAGTACAATCTGAGCACCAAAAGTACTGCATCCATTACTTTTGGAAACTCACTGCAACCGGATTGCATGGTACTTCTGTACCATGTGATCTGGTGCAGGCAAACACACTGTGTTTGCTCCCTGCATTAGGAGTGTCAATAGGGTAACATGGACACCTGCTGAAGATTGCAACTGAAGTGCGTTTTGTACAAGGTTCGCGAAACACTCACAAAATGCAGGTTTCGGCCCCACATTCTGGTGTGAACAGGTACGGAGAGCAAAAAGACAACTTGGCACAATTATGTGTATGCAGGAGTTGACTATCCAGTCTCTATTTTAACTTAGTAGGGTAGCTTTAGAAGATTCTTCTTATTTTTTGTTCACATCATTGGAAGCAAAAATCTTAGGCTGGATTATTAGGGATTGTTGCTATCTGTCAAATGCCTTAAAGCGGTATTAAACCCCAAAGCAAACCTTTATTATATTGCATCTTACCAATTCTTAGATGTGACGGCTGTATTCGTTTGCTTTTTAAGACTTCCTTTCTGCTATTTTCATCTGGTGGTCCAGCCAGCAAGCCTGTTGTTTTTCAGAAGCTCACACTATCTAGCAGAAAGTATCGGTTTATATGGATGAGACAAACCACTTAAGACTGGCAGGGGTGCTTACAACAATCAGCATTTAATCATATAAAACCTTTATCCCAAAATGAAAAAAACTGTTTGCTGTAATTGTTTCTAAATTGTGAGTTGGAGCTTGGCTTCAGTTTAGTGTATTTAAATCTGCGAATATATTTAACACATCCCTCCTCCAAAAAATGACAATGCTGTTGTCTCCTATGCACATTCATCCAAAGTGGTGTCTCCCTAAAGCAGGAGGCGTGTTACTGGCTAGATCACAAGGTTAAAACAGAGGGAAAAAAAGCCAATGAAAAGAAAAAATGAATACAGCCACCACATCTAATGATTGGTAAGCTGCTATATAATGCATTTTTTGTTTGGGTGTAATATCGCTTTAAAGCAGAACTAAACCCTCTTGTCTTTTGCAGCCAAGGAATGTGCCATCTTAACTTCTTTTGACGTGCAGTTGCGTTGGTGCTGCACAAGTGATCAGCTATGACACCAGCCATTTGAGGGCTTGAAAGCTCTGACAGTTATCACTAGAGACATGTCTTGAATGTAACTGTTTTGGGAAACTAAACTCAAGGCATGCCATGAATGATATTGCTTGTGCTCTCAACTAGTCTGTCAAGCCATCAAATGGCTGGTGTCATAACTGATCACATGTGCAGCACCATGGCAACTGCAAATAAACAGAAACTAAGATGGCAATTTCCATGCCTGTAAAGGATAGAAGAGTTCAGTCCTGCTTTAGGTATTTATACATTCTTGGTCACTTAAAAGTTGAAACACTCAAGTGCTCAGACAGAAGTAACTTCGATGGTGTCCAGGCATGTAAAGCTTTGCCTGAAGCAGCCCTTCTCAGATTTGGAAATCTTCAATAAACTGCAAAAACACACAGGAGGGCGCAGACGCTTAGTGCATTACCACCATAAATGTTTATTGGATCCCAAAAACAATAGCATACTCACAAACATTAGAAGGCACAAGCGTATAAAATAATTCCAGTTGTGAGGCGATGTCTAACCATCCACAGATGGAAGACTGACGCATTTCAGGGGATGTGCACCCTTACTCAAAGCTCATTTATACATTCTTAACAAGCAGTAATAGTGCTTTAAAACAAACCCTCACTGACCTTTCTAGCTGTATGTAGTATGAAATAATGCACTTTCAAATATCCTTAATGTTCAAAGACTCTAACACCTCACTCACACTGGAATTGACAAACTTGTTATATGCAATTATAGGTCATTTTTAAATGCATATACATGCATAGAATTATTTTTAGACTATATTCACAATGGCAATTAAGGCCTGTGCGAATTGTAGTGGCAGAAATCTTCAGATTCCTGGTGCAGCTCTCAGTGGCTAGGTGTGGCAGCAGGCCCTGTTCACTATAATGACATACTGCCGGAGGCCGCAGCTATTCAAAGCTATCTGCACAGCCAGCGATTACCAGCAGTTATCACTGCTGGACGCACACAGTGTGGCTCTGAACACAGTTGCACATAGCTGTTGCCGCTAGTGACCTGTCATTATAGTCTATGAGAGCAATCTCTGATTCCTGTTGTTACAATTCACACCGGCCTTAATCATCAGAGTGAATGTACCCTTACTGGTAACATTCACACTACGTTCAGTTTTAGCAGTGTTTGGAGAAAACAGAATAATGTGTATCTAGGGTTAAATAGTCTGATCGCGTGTAACTGAATGTAAATGCCTGTTATTGCGTAAATACATCTAAATGCAGGAAAATCTGGGAAGGTAGCTGCTCTACTATGCACAACACCCTGACCCAGAATCAGGTCGTCTACGAATAATTTGCTTGGCTCAAGGGATGACTTTCAATAGATGGCAGTGAGGTAGGTGCTCTAAAATCTGGGAAGGAAAACATTTGTTTATACTTCCCAGATAACTTTTCCAGCATTAAAAAAACCTAAAACACAGGAGACTAGTGTGAGTGTAGCCGAAAACTGGGTTTCAGTAAGTTTTGAACAGCTTTGAAACGTCTGCTATTTGTTTATATTGATAGGGGGCAGCTTATAATGAGAGGAACTTGCCACAGAAAATAAATGGAAAAAAGTTTTGATTTCAGTGCCATTGTTGAGAAATATGAAACTGAATCAGTCCACAATGTGTATAGTTACAGAGGACAATGAGGGATTGTATTAAAGTGCTTTCACTGCTTATTCAGAATATGGAAATACTTTAGTGTACATAGTTTACCTTAAAGCTTCATTTTTTTTTTTAAAATAACAAACATGTCTATACTTACCTGCTCCGTGCAGTGATTTGCACAGAGCAGCCACGAGCCTGCATCCAGGGAAAGTCGCTCATCCTGGGGGCACTATTCCATGCTCGTCCCCGAGCCACTGCTCTATGCACCCACCCCCTGCTATCTCCTCATTGGCTCACTGGCTGTCTCAGCCAATGAAGAAGAGTCCCCAGACAGCAGAGGCTGTCAAGAATGTCGCTGGATCAGAAGGAGCTTAAGAAATGCGCTGCACACCGAAGGTTTTTATACCTTCATGCATAGAAAACATGAAGGTAAATGAGCCTTCAGAACCACTTTAAAAAACAGTTGTATGCAGGACAAATGGTGTTTGCCCGCTGCTGGCTCCTGGAAGACGATGAGAATTCAGCAACAGTCCTAGAGGCAGCGATTTTGGGTCCTATGAGAGCCTAAGGTTAGCTTTCTTCAGGGAAGCTAAGTCTTCTCTTCTGCTCACAGGTTTCATGAAAGCCACCATTACAGCCTGGGAGGTTGCCACTAAATTGATGCACCCTGAAATGGAAGGAGTTTTGCCTTCCTCTCCTTTACGGATGAACTCATCATCTTTGCCTCACTTTAACCCTATAAGGGACCCAGGGTTGTGGGCAACCAGAGGCATCAAAAAGGGTGGGTGATATTATTAGGGATGTCAACATGCTCATGTTTGATCAACTAAAAGAAAAATATAATCTACCAAATCACTATTTTCGTTATCTTCAACTTCGCCACGTGTACCAGTCTCAATTTATTTACTTGATCATTGACACTCAGCCTTTGGTCCTTCAAAGTCTATTGAAAGATGACTCACTCTCAAAAACATTATCAGTGGTGTATAAGGAAATGTTTAGAACATCCTCTCCATAGTTACAAAGGTGTAGAGAAAAAGTGGTGTGAGGAAATTCCAGGTGTCCAAGGGGAAGATGATATGTGGGACCACCCGTTCAAACACCTGGTATCGGCAAAAGGATAGATTGATTCACTTCAAATTCCTGCATAGAATATATTATACCCCGGCTAGGTTGGCTGGAATATACTCTACTTCCTCAGCGGAGTGCTGGCGATGTTCCCACTCCCCTGCCAATTTCGACCATATATTCTGTAACTTCCAGTCTGTTTAGTGTCTTCTGGAAGGGTGTTACAATATGCATCATAGAGGTTCTTACTACCTCTGTCCCTCTGTGTCTGTACCCCTCCTTGGCCTAGTGGACGAGGTGGGTCTGACTAATGTTCATAGAACCTTACTCAACATCTTATTGTTCTATGCTCGCAAGGTTATCATGCTTCACTGGAAGAAACCCACTGCCCTGACGGTTTCCTCCTGGAAAGGTCTAGTGAATGCGATGATCCCATATTACACAAAGAAGTTTAGCAAGCGTGGCTTTCCTCCTCTGACATGATGGGGCAGACCACATTGCTTATTATACTGAGGTCTCTTACAAGTCTTTACTACCAGTTAGCCATACAACTATTCCTCATGTTCCCTTATAGTGAAGTCTGTGATAGCCAGAATGAGTAATATGACCGGTTTTATTTGCTCCTGTGTTACAGTTAGTGGATGGTTAGAGGATGTTACTCTCTTGGAGTGTTTTTGCTGAATAATAATGATAATTGGATTGGGAGGGGAGGGGAAGCGGTTTAACGGGGGGGTAATGAGTTATGTTATTCGGTCTGTTATATAGCTCAAGTTTTGATTAACGGTTTTCTTTGTAATTTCCAGGGCTCTCCGTGGCCTATTCTATGTTTCTCTGTGATATGCAATTTTTAAGTTTATGTACCCGTATTTGTGTAAAAACT